CCATCTACATGCTTCATTAAATGTTTAAAATTTTCAAAGTTTATCTAGTAAAATGTAAAATAAACTTACCTTCTTTCTTTTATTATTTAAAAGCTTTTGTGTAAAGTTGTGAAGTTCCAAAGAAGCTAGTTGATCAATATTTATTGTTTGTAAAGCCTTATAAAATGTTTGATGAGATTTATCTTTATCTGTAAAACCACTGTCAATTGCCCAGTTAACAAAATGGCTTAATGACCAGATCTCATAGGGATAAATCTCAAAATACTTAGCCTGGGGATGTTTCCACATCTTGATATTTTCAAATGAAGGAATGTCACTTGGCATGTCTGTAAAGAAAAGGACTGAATAAGCTATTTAATACAGATACAGACTCTGTCTTAGATTTTATAATATACCAGAAATTGTAAAGTTATTCTCCTTAATGTTCTTAATTAAGTTTAAGATTGCTAAAGCTGGTCCCATCTTCAAATTGCAATCTTTAAGTTCATCTTTTGTCAAAAGAAGAAAGGTATGCCCTGTAAGTTTTGCCTCATAAATAAGCCTTAAATCTTCAAAATCAAGTTGCAAGTCCTTTTGCTCTTGCAAAAATGCTAGAAGTTCCTTTGTTTTCCAATTCCTGACCAATTCACTTGCCATCTTTGCAGAAGTTTGAGAAAAATGTTTTCAGAAATTCATTAAGGGTTACACACACTATATATCACGAGTCATGTGTGTCATAACAATAAAGTTTCTAATTCTCATTTTTTTTTAAATTTGATTGATTTTTTTTAATGTAAAAAATTCTAACAGATATTTCTTCATAGTGTCAAATAGTGATGTTAGCCGGCTAAGGAATTTTTAAATATGTCTTTTATGGTAAGTAAAGATTATTTATCTTAAAAATAATAATAAATAAAATGATATAGGAATTACATTCTTCCTGATTACAAATGTAATCATGTTAAAACTACTAAATTTGGGTCCCTGAAATTCTTGGTAATACCAATGTTCACTTTGTCCGATTTTGTTGCAGTATGCCCCATATAACATTTATTTATGGTTTAATAGAATTTTTTACAAAAAAAAAATCATTCCCACACCCACCTTTAAATGCTGGAACACCAAAGCAAATCAGGTGTGTTTAAATGTATTATGGTCAGATGAAGCTACAAAAGATACTGACACATATGTTGTGGCTTGCTTTAAAAAATGAGGTGCCAGTACTTTCTGAACTGGCTGCTAAACTTATGACAATTCCTGCTTTTTCAGCAGCAGCAGAAAGAAATTAGTGCCATTTTTGCTTTGCTCATAGATTAATTGATGACAGAGTTTATATATATTCAAATCTTTGTTTCAATGACAAAGTTATAAATCATATTTGGTTGTTTGTTGCATTTCTCACCAGATCCTAAAATCTCACTCACTACATTGGGGTGAGAACCAAACATGCATTGGATAACTGTCACTTGAGAGGGACCAACAATTTGTAAGACTCAATAAATGTTGAATGATGACCTTTTTTGAGGGGAACCAAGCAAATTTATGAGACAAATTTATAAAATACACATTTGGACTGTCATTTAAAGTGCTCCAGATGGGCACAATTTACTGAATAAAATCCTTTGTCATAATGTTTAATTATCAAATAGATGTTGGACTGTCCTCTTAAGTTACCCAACTCATAGATGACATTATTTAGTGTTTAACAGGTGCATATGATTGAACCATACGAATTACAAGTACAAATACTAACATGATCAAATCTCTTCCAATTATCATCATTATTTATATGTATATA